AAACCAAAGTTTACAATGATCTGTTACCTTTTACATTTGTTAATTTTATTGCATTAAATCATAAATGCAACAAACAGAACCCAAAGTCCAAACCCAGACCCCACCCCCCCCCCCCCCCCCCCCCCCCACACACACACACAAAAAAGAAAAAGAGGTGGGCCGGATTGAAGTTAACCGCAGGTCGGAAATGGCCCGCGGGCCACCAGTTGAATAGCCCTAAGATAGACCATCCCTCCAGAGTTCTGCGTCTGCTGCAGGGTCTCAGTGGAACATGCCTGGAAAACCTCCAAAGGGCGTCATCCAGGGGGCATCCTAATCAGATGAACCGCCTCATCTGACTCTTCGTTGCAGAGGAGTAGCGGCTCTACCAGTGTTCCCCTACCATCATACAAGGGAGGTGCCCTGCATCAACAGAACTGAGTGCACACCCTTCCCCCATTGGCACTGACGTAGCGCTAAACTAGCAGCATGCCTTGAAACACCCCCCCCCCCCCCAGCTTGAAAACAGTTAGTACAAATAGGGCGCAGCTCAGGACATGCCCACTCTCCCCCCCCCCCCCCCAAAAGGAACAAATCATGGATGAAATGAGCACCCTGCCATGGCAAGTTATCTAGGGGAAACACTGAGCTCTATTCTGAGCTTCCCCCGGATGATGGAGCTCCTCCTCCTATCTCTACGGCACCATATGAAGGAAGCTCATTTCAGCTGCTTGGTGATTCTTTGGGTCCTGATCCAAACCTCATGATCAGGGAGGGCAAGAAGTGTGATCCCATGATAGTTGGAACATACCTTTTTAAAATGGGAACCGCCACTTGGTCTGCTAATCCACAGGCATTGTCCCAGTCCTCCATTTGACACTCAAGACATGTGTCAACCATAGCAACCCCACAACATCCAGAGCCTTCAGCATTTTGGGGCAAATCTCTTCCATTCCTGGCACCCTGCCAATGAAGAGCTTTTTGACTCCCTCTGTGACCTTTGCCATGGTAATGTACTCATCTTCACCTGAATGCTCAGACTCTGCCTCCTCAAAGGTGGACTTGGTAGGCGGACTAAGGAGAACCTTGATGTACTCCTTCCACCGCTGAACAATATCCTCAGTTCGGGTCAGCAGTTCCCCACCCAAACCAAGCACAGCCTGGAATAGAATCTGTTTTTCTTTTTCAGTCACTGAACACTTAGGCAAAACTTCCTTGAGGCCGAACGAAAGTCCTCCTCCATGGCCTCCCCAAATTCCTTCCATGCCCGAGTTTTTGCTTCCGCAACCGTTGAAGCCGCAGTCCTTCTGGACACCCTGTACCCGTCAGCTGCTACAGGAGTCCTCCGGGACAACCAAGTCCTGAATGCTTCCTTCTTCAGCTTGACGGCCTCCATCACTGCTGATGTCCACCAGCAGGTCCTTTGGTTGCCGTGGCGACAGGCACCAGTGACCTTGTACAATGACTCTCCCGGACTCTCTCAGCCGTCACCAACATGTTAATAAAATTGAAAAACTTAGATTTTTGTGCCGAAAGTGGCTATTTGATTAACGTGGTCAAAATGTAAATAATTAAGATAAATTAATCACAATACCTGTAATAACTCAATTATTTTATTGCTTCCCAGCCCTAATCCTAATGTTGTATATTGTACCACATATTGTGTGGTGTACGAATGTGATAAAGCACTGATTATTCTCTGTATAGATAGAGTGCTGTATGAATGGGTAAATGAGGGCACAGATTGTAGTGTAAAGTGCTTTGAGTATCTTCATAAGATAGAAAGGCGCTATATAATTACTGTCCATTTACCATACAGTGTTGATATGGGCCATACCATAATGTACTGTACCACATTATATTGTTTCGTATTGTATTCCATCATATGATAATGTATCATACTGATTGTACTGAGTCATATTTGATTGTATCATATTGCAATTTATCCTACTGTATCATATTACTCATTATTGCAACATGTTTTATTGTCAAAACTTGTGTTTTATGGTTTCATATCAGAGAAACTTGTACCAAAGCAAGACTAGAAGTTCACTTCAGCAGCTCCTGAACTCTCCTCCTCCTCCTCATCCTCCTCCTCCTCCTCCGATGAGTGGTAATGAGGTGTCAAACTCAACAATCTGTCTGCTTGGAAGAAATTTGGTGGAAACGGGAGGAAAAATAATCATTTCGCCTGTTTTGCTCCCAGCTGTGATCTAATCCTGTCTGTAAGGAGGGCAAGGTCAGTGTCACACTTAAAACCATTAAAATTTAAATGAAAAGGTTAAAAAATGTCCCTGCAGGGGAGAAAAGCTGGTTCTGTTTCCAAGACGTTCAGCTAAACACTGCTGTAAATTGAACTTTCAGGTATTTGAGTCAAATTATGAATAGGAGCTATTTATCTTTTTCACATTTTAAATTATTTTAATTTGTTCAAGCCCCATGGGATTATTTTTCCGTTGTAATATATTGTAAAAAAATATTTTGTTAGTATGTTTTTGCTGTTGTTGTTTGATTATGAAGGATAAGTAGAGACTGTGAGAACTCATAAGTAAAAGTGAGCAGATCTAGGACCAGCATGTAATGGGGTGGGCCTGTGGGTTTTACCAGATCAGAGTAGGAGTGGTAGGAAGCACAAATGATTGGTGGTGAATTGGATGAAACCAGAGTAGGAAATCATCTAGTTTGGACAATGGACTTCTTTTGCTGTGCCTGTGTTAAAAAACAAACCCGCTGCAGTGTAGTGGCCTTTAAGCTAAATAGTTTGAGTTAGAAATAAATCATTAATACACTATGAATAGCAATAAACTCTGAATTAAAGTGTTACAGCTCAGAAAAGTCACAGATTGGAGTTAGTTTCTCTCCAAACAGTAAGCTGTATTGGAACGTGGGAAAAAAACAGGTTTGGATCTAAAATTTAAAATGCTACATGACCCAAAATAAATAATTATTTTCCTACATTAAACTTGTTTTGTAGCCTGAATATTAATTAGATATTTGTTTTACACTTAGAGCAGCAGTTTTTGTCATGAACACCAAAACATTTAAGTTGTGACTCACTGATCAACTGGTGCCTTTTTATCTTTTTCTTTCTTTAAGTCTCCAATTATCTCTGGTTGTGAAATAAGTTTTAACCTTTATTTCTGTATTTTTTGTTTCCAAGCTTTTGTTTCTAGACTTCCTGAAGGTTTTTTTTTTTTTAAATTTGTGTGTTTGGGACCTTTATCTCATTTACTGTCCTGTTTTTAAACCTGACTATAACAGGTTATGTGTGGAGTGTGCCTAAACAAATGTGAAATGTCAAATGTGTGAAAAGTGGACAAATAGATGTCAAAAAGATGTGTCTGACCTAAAAAGAAACAATCATTGGTATTTTTCATGGATTCTGCTGAAGAAATGGGAACAAATTGTACCAAACTGCTGCTCTAAGATCTAATTTAACCTTTACATACATGGGTAGTTGACAGGTCAGAGTAAAAAAGCTTAAAAAACCAAAAACATTTCCCTGAAAACACCTGCTGACTGACGGAGTGAAAAAGCAGCTGCAATGAAAAGGAGAAAAATCCTTCAGAGTCTGAAGAACAATAGATCAGGACCAGAAACGAGAGCTGACTGAAGACTTCTGCACGGCGTATGTTGCTACATTTAGGCTGGATTGTTGAAGAAACTCCTTCGATCAGAGAGGTAAACCATGAAGCAGATGCTGTGATTTCAGGAGGCCTTTCTGGACCGTTTACAACCAACAGAACTGTTTGATTTCTGTCAGCAGATGTAGTTTTCATGACGGCACTGTTGTCATCACAACACAAACATCCTGTGAGAAAACACTGAAACAGGCATCCAGCCACTTCGTGTTGACCGCTTCGTGTTTCACAAAACACCTAGAAAACTGATCTGAACTTGTCTCTTTCTGTGGTGGTGCTTTTATTTGTTCAGATTTAATCTCAATATTTGGTCTGGGATGTGGCACACACAAGCTGTGATGTTCTACTGCCAAGAATATGAACATCGTCCTGATGAAACTTTATTAAAATAAAAAAGGAGCTTTAGCTGCTTCTGAGTGCTTTTAATTAGTGCCAAACAAGATCGTGTCTACAAACGTTTATCTTAAATTTGGTCACTAAATACTGTTTGTATCTCTCTCTAGTTAAAGTAAATGTACATATATACAAATTTTAATCCTTAAATCAGTATGTACTCTAAAAGCAATTTGTGACACACATATTTCAGTCAACAGGGCAGCACGGTGGCGCAACTGGTAGAGCTGCTGCCTCTCAGCGAGCAGGTCCTTGGTTCAAACCCCGGTCCAGGGACCTTTCTGGGTGGAGTTTGCATGTTCTCTCCGTGCATGCGTGGGTTTTCTCCGGGTACTCCGGTTTCCTCCCACAGACCAAAAACATGCATGTTAGGCTGATTGGTAACTCTAAAATTGTCCCTAGGTGTGAGTGAGAGAGTGAATGGTTGTTTGTCTCTATGTGGCCCTGCGATGGACTTGCGACCCGTCCAGGGTGTACCCCGCCCCTCGCACAGTGATTGCTGGACATGGGCACCAGCGACCCCCGTGACCCAAAAATGGAACAAACGGGTAAAGATAATGGATGGATGGATGGATATTTCAGTCAAAACACCACAATGGAGTCAAAATTAATATGCCCTAAAACTTTTGAGATAATTATTTGTTTTTCCTAAATGTGTTCAATGACGCTAGGATGGAGCATGTAACTCTCACCACTTTGCCCATGAGTTGGAACCACTTCTGTGTTTTTACTTGGACAAATGAGTCACGCTAAACCAGGTTATAGTAGAAAGTATAGAACTATGTGTTTTTCTTTCCACGTGTCTGAAAGGAAGAAAATGATCATTACACACTAGAGTCTGGTCAGATAAAGGTTGAATGGATGGATGATGTATGGATGGACAATGAATGGATGGATGGATGATGAATGGATTTATTGATTAAAATATATATATGAGCAATGAAATGAGCAAATAAACAAACAACTGTTATTGAGAGTCCTCCTTACGATGTGCAGTTGGAGGAAGTCTCCGAGCCCGTGGGTACTCTCCACTCGCACCAAGATGGCGTCCTTCTGCTGCGTGCTGAAGCCCACTGCTAGGCGGTCAGCCCGGGTGCTGGGTCGCTCGTTGGGGGCCCAGGTGAACGTGATGAGGGCACCTCCTTTCCCGAAGATGTACGTGGTCCCGGCTGGAAGACAAACAGGAAGTGGAACATCAGGACAGAAGCGGTCTATCTTCAGTGCTGCTTCATGAGCTGCTTCAGCAAAATTGCAGTTGGTCCAGTTAAAGACAACTAGTCCAACTTTTTGAATGAAGGTTAATAATCGCTTCCAAAACCTACATAAAACAAGTCCCCATTGTTTGTTTTTAGCTAGATGTCCTCCTCAACACAGAATGGATTCCTCTATTGATGAAAATTTTATTCATCAAGACTTTTAAATTTGCAGTTTGTGTCCCACCTTTACTGAAAGGAGGTGGCCCCACTATACTCAACAGTTAGCGACCAATGTCAAAACTGTACTTTAGTTAAGGTTCTAGAAAAACTGTTGAATATTCAAATCAAGAAGAATTTGAATTATTTTATCTTCCCATCAATCTGGTTTCAAATACAACAAAGCACAATGACTGTTTTGGTAAAAGCTTTTAATGGCATTTAAACATTGGGTGCTAAAGATCACTGTGCTGCACTTTACTTAGGCCTGTCCAAAACATTCACTACAGTAGAACATGGCGTCTTGTGCCATAAGCTCTCAGATATTGCCTTCTCAGGTCACAGTGTTGGCTGGTTTTCTGACTACCTCTCAGGTTAGAGGCAGTGTGTATAACACAATGGTATTTCATGTAGTTATTTAATGGTCACTAATGGCGTGCCACAAGGCTCAGTTTTAGAGCCCACTCTTTTTACAATTTATGTAAATAATGTGGGTTTCTGACACCTGTTTTTTTACTTTATGCTGACAATACAAATGCTTATTGTTGAGCTAACACAGCTGCATACAGTAGGTCCTCCAGTTTCTATGGCCTGATGGCATTCAGTCAGATCTATTCCATCTCACACTGGTCCCAAATGCTGATAAAACCATGAGGCTGTTTTCAAACAGAAAGGTGGTGCCAGCAGTTCTTCCTCCTGTTGTATCCATACACAGCATTCCTATTAATACGTCTATCCATCTTCTACCGCTTATCCATTATTGGGTCATGGAGGCAACAGATCCAGGAGAGAAACCCAAACATCCCTCTCTCCAGCGATGCTTTCCAGCTTGTTTTGGGGGACCCTGTGGCATTCCCAGGCTGGAGAAGATGCACCATCCCTCCAGTAAACTTTGGGTGTTAACGGGGCCTCCTACCAGTAGGATGTGCCCAGAAAAAACCTTTAAAGGGAGGTGTCCAGAATTCTGGCAGAATTCCTGATTCTGGCAGATCCTGATCACCCACTCCATGGTGAGTTCAGGTTGCTTCCATCTGGACGCAGGTATCTGCTGCCGAGATGTAGGATGAACAGACTGAAAACTCATACATACCTGCAGTGATCAGGCTTCTTAACAAACACTGATGATTTCTGTAATGTTATTTTAATTTCTCAATGTCTTGTCTAGTATGGACGTTTTGTGTGCCTACTGACTGTGAAACAAATTGCCCATTGGGGATAATAAAGATTGTTGAACTTGAATTTGAACAGGAGGCATCCTAATCAGATGTCTGAATCACCTCAACTGACTCCTTTTGATGCGGAGGAGCAGCAGCTCTACTCCGAGCTCTCTTCTGATGGAGCTCCTCACCCTATCTCTAAGGCTGAGCCTAGCTACCCTGCAAAGAAAGCCCATTTTAGCCGCTTGTATTTGGGATCTCGTTCTTTCAGTCATGATCCAAAACTCATGACCATAGGTGAGGGTTGGAACATAGACAGACCAGTAAATTGAAAGCATTGCCTTTTGACTCATCTCTCTCTTTACAACAGACTGAAGCAATGCTCTCATTATTGAGGACAAGACCCCACTCCGTCGATCCATCTCCATCCTACCATGACTCGGTGAACAAGACGCCCGGATACTTGAACTCCTCCACTTGAGGAAAACACTATCCCCCGACCCAGAGAGGGCATTCCACCCATTTACTTATTTTACTTTTGATAAGATCACAAGAATTTCTTTTAGCAAATATGTTTTTGTTTTTTGTATTTGACCTAGCTTCATATGGCACTTTCATTGTTTTTATTGCAATGTGTTGTCTTTAATTGCTTTTATTGCTGCATTGTCTGTTTAAAATACTGTAAGCCTCTCTTGAAACTAAAGGTTATTAATAATAAATATGGTACTATTGAATCCCCCCGCCCCTGCAGTAAGTGCACGGCAGCTCCATGAGCTTTTCATCACAAGTTCTTCCTCTCCTCTTCTCTTAGAACGACGCCCGTCTCCTCTAGATAAACGAAGCAAATTCATGTTAATTTGTCATTTACAAGTCGAGCTCGGATCGCAGAGACACCTCAGAAAATCCAAGCGTGCATGTGTTTGAAGCAGTTCGCACCTGTAATTCAGTACAAAATCTTATAATATGTTGTACTAAATTAAGTTCAGTATTGTTGTGAAATGTTAAACCAGAATATTTGTTTGAATGTACAGGTGCAGCTCAGAAAATTAAAAAATTGTGAAATAGTTCAATTTTTCCGTCAGACAGTGAAACTCATTTTAGATTAATTTAACACAAAGTGAAATATTTCAGGCAGCACGGTGGCGCAACTGGTAGAGCTGCTGCCTCTCAGCGAGCAGGTCCCTGGTTCAAACCCCGGTCCAGGGATGTCCAGTTTGCATGTTCTCTCTGTGCATGCGTGGGTTTTCTCCGGGTGCTCCGGTTTCCTCCCACAAACCAAAAACATGCATGTTAGGCTGATTGGTAACTCTAAATTGTCCCTAGGTGTGAGTGAGAGTGAATGGTTGTTTGTCTCGTTTGTCTCTATGTGGCCCTGTGATGGACTTGCAACCTGTCCAGGGTGTACCCCGCCCCTCGCACAGTGATTGCTGGACATGGGCACCAGCGACCCCCATGACCCAAAATGGAATAAGCGGGTAAAGATAATGGATGGATGGATGAAATATTTCAAGCCTTTACTTCATAAAATTTTGTGGATTAAGGCTTACAGATAACGAAAAACCAATATTCAATGTCTTATAAAATTAGAGCATTACCTAAGATCAATAAAAAAGGATAAACACAAATGTCAGGATTCTGAAAAGTGGGATATTTTTATGAACTCAGTACTTGGTTGGGCCTCCTTTTGCCTGAATTACTGCATCAATGCGGTATGGCATGGAGGTGATCAGCCTGTGGTTCTGCTGAGGTGTAATGGAAGCACAGCTTGCATTGATAGTGGTCTTCAGGTCATCTGCATTGTCAGGTCTGGTGTGTCTCACCTTCCTCTTGACAATAACCCACAGAATTTCTTTGGGGTTCAAGTCAGGTGAGTTCGCTGGCCAGTTCAGCACAGTAAAACCATGGTCACTGAACCAGCTTTTGGTACCTTTGGCAGTGTTGCAAGAGCCAAGTCCTGCTGGAAAATAAAATCAGTATCTCCGTAAAGCTTGTCAGCAGAAGGAAGTATGAAGTCTCTAAAATGTCCTGGAAGATGTGGTTAAAACGCCTTATACACGCACGCACACACACACACACACACACACACACACACACACACACACACACACACACACACACACACACACACACACACACACACACACACACACACACACACACACACACACACACACACACACACACACACACAGGT